AAGGGACAAAATACTTTTTGAAATTGAATTTGATGTGAAACACTCATTAATTATGAATGGTACAGGTAAATAGCTGTTTAAATTTCAAAGTAGGTCCCCTCGTATTGATTCCCTGTCATTTTGAACCCTATGGCTAATTTGGGGCCACCATTTATGGCAAGGTGCTCAGTGTATTGTGCCCTGAAGCCACCAATGCAGTGAAGATTAGACTACGGAAGGTTAGAATGAACCAAGGATGGGCTATTGATTTAAATTGGCAAAAGTTAAAACACTTGGAGGCTTAAGATGTGTTTATATAATTAGCTTATTTTGCCCCATAACCTTTATGAGCCTTTGTGAGCAAATTATCAGGTTTATGCAAAAACCCCTCTTAAGAAGTTCATCTTATAGCATCTGATGAAATATCACATAAAATGTGAAGCAGGATGAAATTGCGGTGTCAGTACTTGGCAAACAGTTCAACAGTGTGGGAATGTAATACAGGAGTTAAAATAGCTTTATTAAAGTAATTATGACGAGAAAAATATACTTTTTTAAATGCGTGGAAAAAGAAGTTTGAAAGAAGATTGATATTTGTTATTTTTCTTTATGTCCAATTAATTGTTCGTAACTCTTTTATGATGCGTGCTATTTTTGTTTTGCCCAGGTCCCTCCTGCAAATGCGGTCTTGATCTCAATATAATTTTAAATCTGGTTCAGTAAAGCCAATGGAATTAAAATAAACAATTTAACTGGCAGTTCTAAGAATAAAAAAATATGCTCACATCTTAGTTGACATTTGTAGAAAAAGTGGCATAAGAATGAATGTGTTTAGGATTTTTTTAAAGGCCTTATATGCCTAAAGATATTTATACAGGGTAGAGTAAATTTGACAGTATTTCTATTTTGCAAGAAACCAACACTGTTACAACGATCTTATCACTTCAACAGGTCAACCAGTTCAGAGCTGAGAGGAAAGTAACAAAAAGGATTGAGGGGATTGAGCAGAAGACAGAATGTGAATATCAGTTCACATTTCCACAGCCACCCAGAACACTCAGCAGTCACAGAAAAGCACTGCACTGTGTGGGATAAGTTTAGCCATCAGCATCTGATGTTGGCTTGGTGAAGGTTCAGCTTGCAGGTTTAGACAGGAGGAGGACTAAACAAAACAGAACATACAATTTAAAAATAAATGTAACCACAAAAATATTTTACACCCCAGTAAGCATTTGTTGCTTATCTGAATTCGGCTTCCCGGCTTGCCTTATCTCAATTCGCCTGGAGGCCCTGTAAATTTGATGCTCTGCCCCCTCCCTTCGCCTCCCACCGAGGATGTCTGCAGACCTACCAGAGGGACCCAGCTGAATAAACGTGTCATCATTTCAGGACTCTTGGATTCTCTCTGGCGCTGTTCTAGGTCATCCTCGGCACAAGAGTGTTTACGGATCTCACCAGAGGGAACTGACAGATTGTACCATTCTTATGAGAACTCCTACAGTGCCTCTGGAGTGTCCTTGACACGATCACCGCTCTTGATGTCTCCCCTCCCCTGTGGAATGTCTACGTCACTATGTGCGGGGTGTTTTTTTCAATATCAGGGTCTTTCTTCTCAGTCAGAGTTTGATAGGATTTTTGTTTGCCTCCAAATCCTATACCTGTGTCACTTTCATTACTTGTTGTCCATCTAAAGAGGTCTCAATGGTAAATGAGTCTTTGAGGCTCAATGTGATTTATCTGTGTAAATAAAGGTTGAATGGGAGAAAAAAAGTATTTTTGTTATTGAACTATTCTGATAATTGTGTTTAGCAGAAACAGTTTGTGTTCATAAGTTTACATAAAACTGTTAGAAACTTGGCAAAGAGTTGAGTTTGTAAGGAAGACTCAGTTTACAGATGCTAGTGTTGAGTGGAGCCTCTTTTGTTAAGACTAAAATACTGTCTGGATGCAACAAAGTCTATGCTCAATAATCCAGGTATAAAATTCAACATTTTTCAGTCAGGTCATCTGGACAGTTTCTTTTTTTTTGTGCTGAAATGTTTCGCCTTCGATCCAGAAGGCTTCATCAGTCAAGGAAACACACACACACTGTCTGGATGGTTTCTTTGTGTTGAAACGTTTTTGTCTTTCATCCAAAAGACCTCATCAGTCTGAGGAGCTACAACGTTACAACCATCCAGAGGACCTGACTGAACTTTGTTGGATTTTTTTACCTAGATTATTGAGCATGAACTTTGATGTTTTGAACCACTTTGGTCATGGCTGCCTCAGACGAGTCGACAGGGGAGAGGGTGGGCCCCAGAAACCATCTTATCATCATCAAACTGGTTGGCCTACTAAGTGAGTGTGCTGCTTGTGGGAATAAGTTTGTTGTGGCTCCTCGGACCGATGAAATATTTTGGATGAAAGACGAAATCTTTCACCACAAAGAAACTGTCCAGAGCACCTGCCTTGACTATGGTGGAGAACCAGAAAAAAGTTACATTTTAATGTATTTCATTGAATCCAGGATTTTTCTTTT